CACTGTGCCACCAGGGTTTCCCCTGCAGAATCCTTCAATATTGCAACTCGAGGCTTGAATTTTTTCTTCAGTTCTTTAGCACATATGCTTTATCGATTTCTTTTTAACAAATGATGAGATTCTTTGTGCATCTATGGTGCCGTCATGTCATTGTTTACTCATGAATAAAGACATATGACAACATGTCCGAGTCGGTGATGTCAGCCCAGGGATTAGCTGCCTACCCTGTCCTTCCCGTCTCTTGGTTAATTGACATTTAAGTGGCTAGTGTGTAGTGAAGCCAAACACTCCATCCCGCTGGTCCAGGTGGTCTGTTGTTGGATGCCGCGAGTTGATTCCGACTCCTAGTGACCCCATGTGACAGAGGAGAACTGCCCCCCCCATAGGCTTTCCTAGGCTGTAATCTGTGTGGAAGCAGATTGCCAGGTCTTTCTTCCACGGAGCCCCGGGTAGCCTAGAATGCCAACCTTTTGGTTAGCAGTCTAGTGCTCAACCATTGCACCACCAGGTGGTCTAGAACAATGTCTACCACTTTTTAAAGACCAGCCCTTCCTTCAGACACATTCTTACATGAAACTTCCATCTATACCCCAGATTCCTGTGCAGCAGGCTGGGTTGCTCACCTGAATATCGGGCTAGAATTTGTGTCTCCTCCCGCAGACCTTCCACCAGCTAAGGTCTCAGCCTTGGCTCTCCATTAGCATTGACACATCTCCAAAGCCAGGCTGCAGCCCAGCGCACACCAGCATTCATTTTCAAAGCCTACTTCCACGCCCCCATCCCAATGTGCAGCTGAGCTGAGGCCTGCTAGGCTCCGCACCCCTACCCTGCGGGCCAAGGAGGAGGGGGCTGGGCATGTGCAGTGCGTGGCTGCAGGGGGTGGGGTTCCGCTGACCCTCCGTGCTCTGCTCTCGGCTGCCCCCCTGCGGTGGAGGCTGCATCAGCAAGCCCACTGGACCAGACAGGGAGCTCCATCTCCCAAATGGCTCAACAGTGAGAAAGGAGAAATGGTAATCTTCTCTACCTGAAACCCGCTCCCACACCTCAGTTAGTTCCATACCTCAGCAGAAGACAGGAGTGTTGCTTATGGACTCCTCAAATCTGCCCACCTGACCCCTGAAACCCGCCCACCACGGGGGACCCTGCTGGCATTTGAGACACCATGGCATAGCTTCCAGCATCACAGCTTTCATTTACGGAATGGAGACCGGCTTCTCCGAGCCAGGCATGCCAGAACAGCTGGAGGTAGTGGACAGCTGAGCTCCGAAGGTGACCTGCTCTGGAGTCACCAATGTACCTGGGCCTCAAGCTAAGGTGGCCCCTTAACCACTTCGCGTCAGAAGACAGCTGCTTTCCCTCCTGAGTTGTTGCAGAATTCAGGGCAACAGACACCAAAGCCAGACCGGCAATGGAGGGAGCCCCCAGGCTCGAGACGCCCCACAGTGAGTGCCAGGTGTGAGGGCGGGCAGGTGGGCAAGCAGGCAGTAAAAGGCACAGCGGGTGGGGAAAGGCGGTCATTGGTGGGAAGGGGGGTCCTGCTCCTCGGGCTCGGCCGCGAGGATTCAGCTGGGCACGCCTGCCCCTGCCTGCCCTGCCACCTGGGGTGCTGGCAGGCCCTGTCCCCTCACTCCTCCCCAGTAATCCGTGGCCATCACTTCCCTAAGACCTCACTCAAAGCTCACTTTCTTTTGAAGCCCTTCCCCGGTTCCTTGCTATGGAAAGCATTGTTCTCGAACTACCACCATCAGCACACTTAGGAGCTTGTTAGAAATGCAGAATCCTAGTAGGGCCACACTCCAGACCCAGAGTCTGGTCCGTTCACATTACAGTGTGAGAGGTGCCTCTCCGGTCTTCTCGTCTGTGCCCCAGCAGGCACCAGGTGAGTCTTGGGCCAGGGCCGGAATGCCATGAGCACTGTTGGCTCAATGATCCAAGGCACCTGGGGTGGGAGGAGGCTGGTGAAGTGAAGCCACTCACAGACAGCCTCCTGGGCTTTGGGCACATGGGGGTTCAAAAGCCCCAGAGGGCAGGATGTTTGGATAGGCCACCTGGGGAGGTGACACCATGACTGGCCTGTCCACCACCACAGTTGGGAGAGAAGAGACCTGCTCCCCAAGGGACGAGAGGCTGCATCCCGGGTGTCTTACCTCACTCAGCTTCTCGGGGCTGAATGCAGGAGTCAGGACCCCTCTGACTTCTTCCCACCTCGTGTCGCGTAGAAACAGGACGCTCTTAGCTACCGGCTTGGACTCCAAGCTTGACGCCTGATGGGAAGCGACAGGAAGAGAGTTAGGACACAAAGCCGCCTCAGGGGGCAGTACAGGTTGTCAATAAACACCACAGCTAACGTCCACCCCTTAGGAGGCAGAAGAACAAGAAGGTTCATGGTGAATGGGTCTGAAGATACGTGGCCGAGGGCCAGGGGCAGCGGCTTTGGGCATCTGCCGCCCCCGCTGAGACAGGACTCCCTGAGGACTAAAGAAGCTTCCCGGGCCGGCCGAGTCTCCCTTGGCTTGAGTTCTCAGGCCTGTCCTTTGTGGGCAGGGCTTTGTGTGTCCCGCTAGGTTGAGACGGGAGTTGACAGAGTCAGGTGTCCGCGTCCTTGGTGTGTGTGGGGGGTGGTTAGGGTGAGGGTGAGGAGAGGTGGGAGGGGGGCAAAGGAGAGTCCCGCAGACCCTGTCCCGGCAGAGCTGCTCCCACAAGAACTCCTGTTACGTTGTTCCTGTGTCCTTCATTCACTCATTCATTTTTCTCCTTCAACAAATGGTTATCGGAGGCCTGAACTGTGTGAGGATTTGGCCGTGGAGTGTTGAATGAAGAAGACACTGCTCTGGCCCTCACGGAGTTGACAGTCTAGGGGGGACACAGCAATAAGCCCATAAACCAAGAAACAGATATAGTTTATGAGAAAGTGAGCGTTGTGAAGGGGAAGACGGGGCAAGATGAGAAAATGCTGAGCAATTCACTGGCCAGAGGCTCCTCTGAGGAGGGGAATGTAATTAGAGCAGGGAAGCCTGCAAAGGAGTTAGCAGTCTCCTCAGCCCTTCTTCTCGGGCCACCTAGTCCCTTCTAAAACCAGCCACTCCCACCAAGTGGTCAAAGATGGGCCCCCAGTTGGCTAGTGCACCCCAGCTCTGTGTCTTTAGGGTGGCGAAGACTGGAGGCCGGGAGGACCACACACTCCTCAGAACCACATGTGATGCTCAGTTACACTCTTTCTTTTCACTGTTTTAATTATACTTGAAACATCAAACCAGTCATCATCATTCAAAAGCCTGGTAAAAACTCCTCTATAAAGGAAAATTATAATTTTCTGATAAAATATGAACACTCAAAATAAGCCATAAAACATTAACTACAGCACGGGGAGGGGGAGTTAATTATATATTAGCACCAAGTTGCTGGGATATTTTTCTGCCGAGGAATCCCTCTCCATATTTAGAATGAAATTCTGTAGGATGCCATGGCCACAAGATGGAATTGTGGTTTTTAGAATTTTTGGAAAATAAACCGTTCGCTTGTGTTCTAGAGTCAAAGGAAATCATACATTATGCATATTGATATATCGGCAAAAACCCAGCCCTGTGCCACGCTACGGATAATCAGGCATTTCGTCCCAAGGGAAGCTGGCTGGTTTCTGTGGTTCCGATGAGACAGAATAAGTTAGAGACAAGGGTCAAGAGTGGTTGGGTTTGGTATCTCCTTGAAAACCTAACAAATGGATCCATGATATTTTTCTTCTTGCACCACAAGGACAAATCTGGCCTCTCTGGAGTATGTCAGTATGCCCTCAAGTCTCTCCTTCCCAGCCTGCCTCAGCTGGTAGTCTCACTGGGGTCTGCCATGTTCTCACGGCAATGCTTGGGGGCACTGGATAGAGTCGTGTGCCTGTTTTAGATGGCATACTGTAAAAAGGAGCAGTCGCGACAGTGAGGGGACCTTGAATAATACCACATAAGAAATAGTTGTTGGCAAATCAAAACTACAATGAGACACCATCTCACCCTGACATCACTGGCATGAATCAAATTACCAGAAAATAACAAATGTTGCAGAGATTGTGGGGAGATTGGAACTCTTATGCACTGCTGGTGGGAATGCAAAATGGTACAACCACTGTGGAAAATGATGCGGTGCCTCCTTAAAGAGCTAGGAATAGAAACACCATACGATCCAGCAATCCCACTCCTAGGAATATATCCTAGAGAAATAAGCGCCGTCAAACGTATAGACATATGCCCACCCATGTTCATTGCAGCATTGTTCACAATAGCAAAAAGATGGAAACAACCTAAGTGCCCATCAACAGATGAATGGATAAACAAATTATGGTATGTACACACAATGGAATACTATGCAATGATAAAGAACAATGATGAGTCTGTAAAACATCTCACAACACGAATGAATCTAGAGGGCATTATGCTGAGTGAAATAAGTCAATCACCAAAGGACAAATATTGTATGAGACCACTATTATAAAAACCCAAGAAAGGTTTACACACAGAAAAAAACAATCTTTGATGGTTACAAGGGATGGGGGGCAGGAATCACTAACTAGATAGTAGACAAGTGTGAATTCTGATGACAGGAAAGACAACATACAATATAGAGGAAGTCAGCACAACTTGACCAAGGCAAAGTCATAGAAGCTTCCTAGACACAGTCAAACATCTTTAGGAACCGAGTTACTGGGGCTAATGGCTGGAGATGATGGTCTTAGGGGACATCTAGATCAATTGGCATAACATAGTACCTAAAGAAAACATTCTATATCCTACTTTGGTGAGTAGCGTCTGGGGTCTTAAAAGCTTTCTAGTGGCCATCTAAGACATACCTATTGGACTCACCACGTTTGGAGCAAAGGAGAATGAAGAAAACCAAAGACACAAGGAAAATATTAGACCAAAGGACCAATGGACCACATGAACCACAGCCTCCACCAGCCTTAGGCCAGAACAACTAGATGGTGCCCAGCTACCACCACCAACCTCTCTGACAGAGATCACAATAGAGGGCCCAGACAGAGTGAGAGAAAAATGTGGAACGAAATCCAAATTCACACACACAAAAAAAGACCAGACTTAACTGGTTGACAAAGACTGGAAGAACCCCCAAGACTATGGCCCCTGGTCACCCTGCTAACTCAGAACTGAAGCCACTCCTGAAGTTCACCTTTCAACCAAAGATTAGACAGGCCTATAAAACAATAACACGCGTGAGGTACATGCTTCTTAGTTCAGAAACAAAGATAAGAAGGCAGGAAGGGACAGGAACTGGATGAACCAACACGGAGAACCCAGGGAAGAAAGGGGGAGAGTGTTGACCTATTGTGGGGATTGCAATCAATGTCACAAAACAATTTGTGTATAAATTTTTGAATGAGAAACTAATTTGCCCTATACATGTTCACCTAAAGAACGATAAATTAAAAAAATAAGTTGTTGGATTTGGGGGTGTTTAGCTGGAAGAGAGAAGCTTTGAAAGACAAGATAGTGGTACGCAGTATATACTCAATAAATATTTATTGAATGCATATTACATGAAAGAGGGAATTTAGGTTGCTTTTGTGACTCGGGTAGAATTGGGTTCAGTAGTAGCAGCTACAGGGAAAAGTTCTAGCTCATCCAAAGGAGAACTTCCCAGTCATGAAAAGTCAGAATTATTCAAAGGTAAGATCACCTGCCACGGTGCTGAGTTCTCACCGCTTGGAAAGATTGTACACCACATGGAAATACTTCATTGGTGGCCCAAGCATCTAGTGGGGGGTTGGCCAAAATGACCTTCAAGAATTTTCCAATCCCAAGCCTTCATCTCCAGACAACCACTCCAAGCATGTTTTATTAGCTCGTCCACATGTCTGACTGATAAGATTTACTGGGCAGCGCCTCGGAAAGCACAGAGGGGTCTCCCCGGAAAGAGTGAGCCACAGGACTGGTACATGGATGGAGGCAGGACTGTGAGTCTTGGGGCAGGCAGGGGCTTGGAAGGCAGGCCCAGGGAAATAGCTTTCTAGACTGCCTATCGGCCTAGTCGTGTGTTCCATGTCTCAGAGAATGGCACCTCCCATCACTCCCTGCCTGGGGCTTCCAGACTGTAGGTCATAAGCAGTCATGAAACCAAGGTAGTGGGTGGCAACAGCGGAGAAGGAGCAGGGGAAAGAAGGGTGAAAAGGGAGGAGGAGGGGAAGGCAGGGAGGAGTGATGGAGGAGGAGGAGGAGGAGGAGGAGGAGAGAATAGGAAGACCAAGAAGAGAAACAGAAAATAGAGAATACAGAGGAGTATTTCACAAAGGAAGATGATTTTTTTGTCCTTAAACTTTCAGACAGATGTGTGTGTATGTGGTGTGTGTGATGTATGCTGTGTGTGGTATATGCGGTGTGTGTGAGGTGTGTGTGTGTATTCTGTGTCAAGATGTGGAATGTGTTTCTTACTGTAGGCCACAGTCAAAAACCTTGAAAAACCCGTTTTAACCCAAACCCCAAACCTGGAAGCATCTACTCCCTCAGCTAAAACCCTGCCAGTCACGACTCTCAAATCTCTCTTTGATCAGCCAATTCTCTTCACCTCCACAGCCACCACCCCGGCCCAGGTCCCCAGCACCCACAGGTCTGACTGTCTCCCTGCTTCTCTGGCACAGGAGCCCTCCACGCTGGAGTCGGGGATCTTTCTAAAGCACAGTCTCGCCCTCCCAATGGCTTCTCCATGGGCAAACCCCTAACTTGGCGTGTAAGGCCTGGGATGGTCTGACCAATTCCCCACCCTTTTCCAGACACAGCCCAGAGGCTGAAGGAGTTCTTTAACTCCTGTCCCTTCCCAGCAGCAGCCGCGGACCCTGGGCTGGGTGTGTTGCAGTTTATATCTGGAGGTTTACAGGTTCAGCTCTGACTGGCTTCTGTTCGCTATAAAGCTGTGAACGCTCTACTGAGCGCCTACTGTCTACGGGGGCCGTTCTCCCACCAGGACTGTCAGGAGACAAAATGGTTTACAACCACTTATTGACCTTACAGCTGACAAAGTGCTTCTCCCATGATTTCATGAACCCGTGGATCATTTCCAGCAACGTCCTAAATAGCAGCCACGCCTAATTGTGGCCTGTGACTAAACAGCTAAGTTTCCCTTAAACAGATGGAACTGTTTTTCTTTTCAATTAAGATCTCTTAAAATAGAGCCTAACTCGTTATTGGAACAGCTAAGCATGAACTGTCAACTCTGAAGAATCACAAAGTCCTGAGAAGCAAGAAGCAACACTTTGGCCAGTGTT